CCCTCGCGCGGCTCGGCGGGGCGGCGGAGGGGCCCGATCCGGCAGCGGGAAGGGCGGCCGCACCGCTTCCTCCTGCACCTTCCTCCAAGCGTCTCGCTGCGTCCTGCCGCCTCTTCCCCGCCTTTTTATCCCTCTCCCGGGGGCCGCGCGGCGAGGGCGAGGCAGCGAGAGGACTAAATGCTCCGATGCCCATCAGAGGGCACTGCTTGCTGTCTTCTCTGCGCGCCTGAAACTCGGCCGAGGCTTTCTCCGCAGAGGTGTGACCGCCGCGGCTCCCGCTGGGACGCTGATACGTATCGCTCCTCTCTCACGCTTCGCTGTCCCTAGTTACTTCTTGTCCTCTGGCTCCAACGAGGGGTGGGCAGAATACGGCCCGTGGACCAGATGCCTCCTGCCGTGCCATTGGATGTGGCCCACGGAGGGGCCGAGTCCCTGCCCCGCGCTCCCGTGCCCGCTGACGGCCCTGCGCCGTTTCCTGCCGGGGCTCCCCTCCTCCCCCCCCCAATTGGTTGCTCCTCCTCACTAGCACCACGACCAAAAGGGACCAAAAGGGACGTGGGGGGTCAGGATTAACCGCAACATGAACATGAGCCGCCATGAGCTGGTAATGCAAACAAAACTCTAGCTTGCATCCATAGATGCTTCTCGAGCGACTCGCAGGGGGGCATCCTCCCGCTGTACTCCGCCTTGGCGAGGCCGCAGCGGGAGTCCTGCGTCCAGTTTTGGGCTGCACAATTCAAGGAGGATGTGGAGAAGCTTGAGAGAGCGCAGAGGAGAGCCGCGCGCATGATGGGAGGGCAGGAGAACAGGCCTCGTGGTGAGAGGCTGAGAGCTACGGCACTCTTCAGCCTGGAAGAGCGCAGGCTCAGGGGGGACCTGGTGGCCACCTATAAGTCTATAAGGGGTGTTCACCAGGATCTCGTGGGAACGCCTGTTCACCAGAGCGCCCCAAGGGATGACAAGGTCCAATGGTCATAAACTTCTCCAAGACCATTTTAGGGTGGACATAAGGAAAAACTTCTTTACTGTCCAAGCCCCCGAAGCCTAGAATACCTCCAGAGGTGGTGCAGTTACCTACTTTGGACACTTTTTAAAGAAATGTCTGGATGCTTATCTTGCCGGGATCCTTTGACCCCAGCCGACTTCCTGCCCCTGGGGCAGGGGGCTGGACTCGATGGTCTTCCGAGGTCCCTTAATGTCTGTGAAATCTATGAGGTCTGCAGAACTGAGCAGTGCCTGGGTGACTACAACCACGCTGGGAGCAGCCCTGCCAAAAAGCTGTATGCGCTGGCCAGGGCTAGAGCAGGCACGAGTGGGAGCAGCCAGGGCTCGAGCCCAAGGGGGAGGCAGCCCTGGGCCAGATGTGGCAGGGGAGACCATACCTGCGCCACACCGGTGTGCCCAGGCAAGCTTTGCTGCCCGCACCCCCAGCCGACTCCCAGGACCTAGCACAGGTAGCCTCCCCCACACAACACACAATACTGTATACTCTTGCAACACTTTATTTTGAGCTATTATGCAATCGCCTCTATAGACACTAGTCAAACGTACACAAATCAGAACAAAACTATATTTTGAAATAATATTGAAATGCGTTGTGGCCGACGTTTGATATTTTTTTAATTTTAGTATATGATTTGGTTTTTAATCTATAATTTGTTGAAATTGTTTCTTCTGAAGGATTTTGTGTGTGTGGCCCGCGACAGCTCACCAAAACTCGTTAAGTGGCCCGCCAGCTAAAATGTCTGCCCACCCCTGTTCTAACATGTTTCCTCTTTGTAGCAAGAGCTAGGCACAGATTTGAGGAAGCTGAAGATGCCTGTCTAATGCGTCCTTGAGGTTAGCAGCGCAAGGCGGGGGAAGCGCATGGTTCACAGCACTGGCTTTGTGCTGTAGCTAATCGCCATCTGACTCCTCGTGACAGGCTCAGTTGGCCCCTTGCACAGGCTGCCAGCACTGAGCTGCTGTCCAGATTTCCCATCGCTGCCCTGCCTCTGGAGCAGTTCTGTCTACAGAAGTAGCAGGGGAGCGTTCATATGGACGGGGCCCAGGTGGCAGCTGGCATTTTAAACCCGTGCCCTGAGCCTGCAGGAAACCTTTCCCGGCTGAAAGATTTGAGTGCTTGATTTCTTGCTTGGTTCCCTTTCTCCTAAATACCCAGTTGAACCCTGGAAACCAGTAACAGCTCTGGATGCCTTCTATTATTCCTCTCATGCTCATTGTCCTCCCTTCGCTTTGGAGCTGCTTCTCTCCCTCTCTACTGTCTACCCTTGCTTTCAGCAGCAGTTTGCCTTCCTTGAGGCAGCTCGTCTGTCCATTTGGCCAGCACTCATTCTGCGGGCCCCTTTATGTGAGAGAGACTCCCAGACAGGGTGGATAAAAACAAATTTTTTATTTAAATCAATTTTTTGTTTTAATTTGATCGTATTTTTTTGTTAAGATGCTTTTTTTTAAAAAAAAACCCTATATAAAAACAGTTTTAATTTAAAACAGGTTAAAGCTCAAAGATGTCATCATGGAATTAGGGATTATAACTTCTAATTATATACTATTTGAGACAATATATGCATGTAGCCTTTTTAGAAAATGTTTATAAATAGGTCACAACAGGCTATATTAGGGGCCCAATCTTATGGGATTCCCAGAGACTCCTTTATAGATTAGTAAAGATTGAAGCAAACCACTCTACCCAGTGGGACTTGGTGCTCAGTCTAGAAGGTCCCATTAAGCCATCTCTGTGATGCTTAGTTTCAGTTCGTAAACTGTGGATTTGTGTCTCCAGAGATAACATCCTTGTTAACAGCAGTACAATATATGGAGATGAGAGAGAACAGACCTGATAACCTACCCTTCAGCCCTCTTGTCTGTCTGAAAGTTTGTGCGCACAGAGTCAAGCCCTTACTTCTCTCTAAAAGTACAAAGTTTCAAGAAGTTAAATGGATAAAGGATATCAAACATCAAGAAGGCACTTTTTGTAGAAAACAGCGATTAAATCAAGGCTTCCTGACCAGTGATTTTTGAATCGTGTTTTAAATCAAATCCACCCTGCTCCCGGATCCACATCTCTTCCCAGTACCCCAGCCTGACACTAATTTCTCAATATTTTGTCTGTGAAGCTGGGATGGCTTCCAGCTTGTATTTTGAGAACTGCTTGGGTTCTGATTAGCGCTTCTTCATTTGAAACACAAGCTGATTGAATTAATAGCTTCAGAGATACAGAGCTATAAAAAAAAAAAAAAAAAGAGGAGGGGTTTTCTGCTTTAAATCCAGTCAGTTAAAAAAAAAAAAAAAAAGGGGCGGGGGGGCGGGTAGGGGTTGACAAGCTTAGACCTGTTACCAACTGAAAGAACAGTCACATTTTTCTGAATCCAAGACAGTCGTTTTAGGAGTTCCTTGTAGCAGTGAAGCTGTCAACCATATCCCATCACTGCGATGCAACAGGTCATCAGATTGCAAAATAACGTTGATGATTGACTTTGGAATGGCCTTGTGGTCTGAGCTGCTGAATTCTGGACTTGCAGACAGATGTCCAACACTCAGTCACTCCTTACAAACCAGGTGGGAAATGCACCCTGACACTAGCTAACTTACTTACTGTAGTGTTATAGGCTTTGTTTTAAAACAAAATGTATCCTAATAGATGGAAACCACTCATTCTTCATCTGCCCTTTTTTCAGTACCTGGGAGTTCTGACCTCAGTAACTTATGATCCATGGCTACAGTGATAATATGCCGAAGACTTCCAAGAGGAGTCAGCAGGGCTGCGACATTTTCAACTGTATCCAGGAGCGGGGCCAAGAGGACAATTCCCAGGAGAAAGTCAGAGGAGGATGGGAACCCTCAGGTGACTGACACTAAAGCAGAGGTGAGACTCAGGCTGCAGAATCCTGTGGAGTACAGAATATTTTATAATCCATCAGCCTACACGGCCACCAAAACCATATCATATCAGAATGCAGCTGGAAGCAATGCAGATGGTGATGAAAGGCCCTCTGCTAGCAAATTCTCCAGCATTGTCACCAAGCAAGTCCAAAATACCTACAGCATCACCTGGCACCCAAGTCTGAGCACAAAAAACACTACGCTGCATCTGGAATTCAGCAAACCCTTCTCCACACAAGCCAGCCCAAAACAGCCAGTTAAACCCAAGCCCAAAAGAGATGAAATGCCTGATGTTGAGGTGGAGGCTTATAACAGTGAGGTGGAGGCTTATAACAGTAAGGTGGATAACCGGGCCTTTCAGAAAGAAAGGCCTGAATACAGCTGTCTGTGTTATGACAACTCCACACCCGTGGAGCCCCTACCCCTAGAAGAAAGAGACTTGATCTTACACAGTATAAGTACACTTAAAAGTGAGCTGGTCCCAGGAACTATTGTGGAGTATTTTTGCAAGCTGAGCTGTCTTCCGGTGGAGCAGCATGCTCCCCTGAAGTCCCACATCCAGTTCACGATGCTGTGTCACTACTCGGTTAAAAAGATCCAGATGTTCAGCACATTGGAACTCATCGCTATTTTAAAGGCACTTGTCCGCTTAACTGTTGATTTCAACCACGTCATGATGAGTGCATACGAGAGGGAATTCTGCTATCGGGCATGGACCATGAGCCTGGAGCAGCTGCTGCTGGTGGCAGACTTCTGGCGCTACTTGCAATGTAACGTGCCTCACTACTTGCGCGTCGTCTTGAGTTTCATGAGCATGCACTGGGGAAGCCTCACCTTGCCCCAGCTGGTGCAGCTGATGTACATCATAGGAGAACACCGGAAGGCGCCCCCAGGCTTAATGCAGAAGCTGGAGACCTTGGTGTTGGTGAACTTGGATTCCTTCACCTTGGAAGAAGTTGGGACTGTTTGCTTGGGGGCCTTCAAGGCACGCCACTGCTTCTCGGAGCAGGTCATGCAGGGAATCGGAGACAAGATCTCGCCCCGGCTGGAAGACATGGGCAACTTTGCTTTGGTGGGCGTGCTGAAGATGTTCCGTTATAGTCACGTCGATCACGTGAACTTCATGAAGCGACTCGCGGTGGTGGTTCCACCTCGGATTCATAGTATAGGCATCCAGGGTGTTATGCACATAAGTCTCTTCTGCGCAGCCCTGCGTTACCTCAGCAAAAGGATTATGAATGCTGTCGCCTCTTCAGTGCCTTCCAGGGTGACATACTGCCGATACAAGGATGTTGCCAAGTTCTTGTGGTCGTTTGGAACCCTAAATTATGAGCCACCCAACACGGAGATTTTTTACAACAGCCTTATAGAGCAGGTGCGCAGGCAGTTGCATCAGTCCAGGAAGTTCCCTGAGCATTTTCTCACATGTTTGCTGGCTCTGGCATTCACTGAGCGCTACCCATATGACCTGATTAACTATGCCCTGAGCAATGAGTTTATCCAGTTAACCAATGAAGCTAAATTTGACCTGAGAAAGGATCTGTTCACTCTTGATGGCAGCGTAGAAATTGAGTGCCCAGATTACAAAGGCAATCGCCTTATGCCCCAGCTTCGGCAAGAAGCTACCAAGATCCTGTTGAGTTTTGCAGAGCGAAAAATCTACATAAAGCCAGAAGTCCAGGAGGCGCTTGCTGTGCTAGAGGACATCCTAGGTGGGCCCGAGTACGTCAAAAACCATATGATCTTACCTCACACCAGAACAAACGATCTAGAAGTTCATTTGGACCAAGACCGAATGCCAGTACCTTTTAACTTCAAAAGTTCCCCGGCAGATAAACAAGTGGTTAAAGATGAGCAGAAGCACATCGGAAAGAGTCACTCAGATGATTTAATGAATCGGCTCTTAAACTGGAAATCTAGTGACAGGTCTTCCAAGATTGATGATAAAACTGAGGTGCAGACTCATGGGCAGAAGAGGGCAAGAGATGAGCGAGCCCCATCCCCTGGGGATGATTTTGCATTTCCAGATGGGGTTCCTCTGACTGACTCCTTCGTAAAGGTTTTGACCAAGTCAGCGACCTCCCCTGAACATCCTCCCTCACCACCAAGGCCGCAGCCTGCAAGCATGAAGCTCGCCATCCAAATAGTATCCAGGAATCACTATTGCTACAAAACGACGCAGTTGCTGGGGATGCACAGCATGAAGAGGCGGCAGCTGCAGCGGCTGGGCTACGTGGTGGTGGAGCTGCAGTACTGGGAGTGGTTCCGTTTGCTGCAAGAGACCTGGGCGAAGAAGGTGAATTACCTGCGCCACAAAGTGTTTGACTCAATTCCCCAAAAATAGACAGTTAAAAAGAAGCCATTTGACAAGACTGATACCTAAATCTAGCACTGCAGAGGAGCCTGCCTGGCTCTCCAGAGGGGAAAGTAGCTGGGCAGATCCTTCCCTCTTGTTTCTGATCCTTGTTTTACTCCTCCAGTGGTTTATCAAGCTTTGCTGGCTGCTTTACATAGTCCGGGCTGGTTTGACAGCCACCTTAGGAGCCTCATCAACAGCTGTATACGCCGTGCTCTTCTCCTCTTGTAAATGTACCCCAACACGACTCTGTTTATAAATAAAAGCCCTGACAACATAAGATTTTCACAGCTCCATTTTCCTTGGAGTGAGAGATGGTGCATTTGTTTGCCAGCTCACTTCAGGATGGTTGTCATGCTCTTTTGGTACAGTGAAGTCAGTCGGGGAGACTCCTAAACGATGCGCACGGTCCCTGCTACAGACTTCTTGCATGTAGTGCAGCTGTACCAGCCAATTCCAGTGCAGCTGGGCCGGATGTCAGGTCATACTCCCCCATACCTTGGCTTGTTTTCAGGTCCACTGCTTTGCAGGGCACAGGGAGGGAC